AGTTCTGAAGGCCTTAAGGGTAGAGCTTGCTCTACCAAGAAGGACCTAAGAGAATATCTACGAGTGTACCCTAGACTAGGTGGAGGGTCATGGCCTTACTTTGTATAAGGCTAGGAAGTCTTGACATTCTAAGTGTTGAGTGTGCTCCGCTAGTGAGGACTCAGTAGACCACCCATATTTATGATACCTGGTTTGAGACAATAGTTTGGTGGGCTCTATTTCATAAAAGGCTGGAAGTCTTTGTCTGAGCTCAAAACTTGCTCCGCTAGAGGGATCAAGAGTGCATGAGCATAATGGATGATTGAAAATGGGATTGTGTATGTGCTTATCTATATTGTTTTATTGAAAATAGTGCTACTTTATCTCTTATTTATGATTTTGCTTATTAATCGATATTTGGGGTTTATCCAAGTTACTGGGATGAATGCTTTACTTCGTTACCTTTGTATATAGTTGAAGAGAGTATAGGAACGATGAGAAAAGAAGCGAGAAAAGAGTAGCCTTAATTGATAGTGGTATGACTACAATTGTATATAATGAATGTATAATAGTGTTATAGATGATTAAGTTGTCAACTAGAATGCTTATGTATATGTATATGTCTATATGTGGTGATCTTGTTGAATAGCTTGCTTGTGTAAATGATGTTGCATCTCATCGAGTATATTACAATGATGAATACATGAGTAAGCCTAAATGCTATCCAAGTAAGTTTATATTATATTATGTAACTTGTGTCATAAGTAATGAATGTAAAATTGTTATATGAAAATGTGTATTTATGTGAAACTTGACTAAATGGCGAGACTTAGCTCTATTTGTATGAGTCAAGCATATTCGTAATTCTTAACTATATGATGAGACTTAGCCTCATATGTTAAAATGAAAGGTGTGAAAGTGGAACAAGTGTTGATGTGTTTATGTGAATGCATATGATACCTCATAAAAGACCACAAATATATAATGTGACATTGAGAGGTCAAAATATGTATTTGATATGATGTATGTGTTATAATGTGCTAATCAGATGTATGTGGTACTTTTAGATTTGGTTCAAAACCCAAAATGATTTAATGAGACAAGGCAAGGGAATTAAACACTTAGAATGTCAAATTTTAAAAGAAAAATAGCTTTTTATACCTGAATGTTTAATTTTAGATCGAACTATTAGATCGTATCCAAACTTATCTCATGAAATAGATTATGTTATAAGTTTCGTTTGGGCAATTAAATTACTCCAATAGGACATTGAGTGTGAAAATGGCGAATGGTAAAAGTTCGTATCAAAATTTTTAATTATGACATTAGAATTTGATACATGTGCCGCGGCGCATGGTATGCAAACTGCAATGCATGACACAAAATCAAGGTATATTGCTTTGTGTTACATGTCATAGTGCATGTGTTGTAAGTCGCAACACATGACACGTTTCTTAGAAAAATAATTATTGATTCCTTGAGTTGTGGGAATAGCATTTACATTTCTATTAGCCTTTTTTATTGAACATATATTTTTAAAAAGTTGGGATCCTGCATTTCAAAAACAAACTAAGGTGTATGTTTCTAATATTTTATTATATTGTAAATTAAGGTGTGATATGTAAGTAAAGCTTGGGATAAGTATTGGAACTTTACATTCGCACCTCCTATAAGGGAGTGCAAATTTGGACCATTTAGATTTAATTTTTTATTTTTATTTTAAATTTAAATTTATTAAAATTATAAATTTATAAAAATTATAAAAAAGCTAATAACTTTGCTTACCAATTTAGAAAGTCTAGATTTAATATAGATAGTCTAAATTTAATACTCCCTTCATTAAAAAATATAAGGCATTTTTAACCGAATCTCACTCCCAATAAAATAGTTACCTACTTTTTAACTAACCCTATTTTTTTATATTTACTTCTATTAAACACCATATAATAAATATAAAGTCATTATTAATAGAGGTACTTTTGAAAAAAAAAGATAATGATTACACCTCGAAAAACTAAAAATGTCTTACATTTTTAACACTTAACTCCTTAAAAAATGTCTTTATTTTTGAATTAAAGGAGTATTAAAATTTTTTAATAAGTTGACTACCCTATCCAGAGTCTATTTATACTGTTCAAAGTATATTTAGATACTTAATTTAAATTTTAATGTTAAATATAAACTATTCATATTAAATCTAGACTGTTACATTGATGAGCATATTTATTAAATTTTTAAATAATTTTTTTACATTTCATTTTAATAATTATATAAATAAAAATAAAAATAAAAATATTAAATTTGAATTGTTTAGATTTGTACCTCCCATAGCTTCTTTCAACGAAGGGAAGCCAACTTCAGGAGGAAGAAGGGCGGCCATGGTCAAAAATTGGAAGATGAAGAAGGATGAGTGTAAAATGAGTTGGAAAAGTTGGGCATGCTATGTAAGCAGAATTTTAATGAAGCAAACACACAAAAAATGAGGTGGATTCCATATGGGCATGCCACCTAAAAATAATAAAGTCAACCAATGGTCAAATATTTGGATCTATCAACTTAAGGTAAAATTATACTATTTTTAAAAATATCAAGGCAATATTGTGCTTTTAAATATTTTATAATACCAATTGTGAATAAAAAATTTTTTGAGATGATTTGTACTTTAGTCTAAAGAAAAAAAAAAACATGAGGGAATTTGGGATGATGGTAGTATATCATCTGTCTGCTGCACATTGGAAAAAAGAAAGAAATCTGAGAAGTATTGTGAAGTTGGGTAATAAAGAGGGAGAATATCAGCAAAGAACTCTAGAAGTAATTTAATTTCATATAAAAACTGTTAATAAGTAAATATTAACAATTAATAAGTAAAGTTTTTGTTTTAACAATTATTCAATTCAATTCATCTACATTCTTATTAAATATTAAATTCTTTTAAAAGTCCTTCATTAAAATTTCGAAACACACTAAAGAAACGTGTAGGAGGTCTAGGTGATGATAATACATGACCGGTTATACTTACATGTACAAAGTTACATGTCTAAGTAATATTATAACAAAAATTCTGTATATTATAAATTCTTGGAAGCCAAATTTTTTTTCGAGAGAGTCACATTGCAGTTCCATAAAATCTGAAAAAAGTACTAAAGTCTAATTCCTTAAAAATGTAAATAATTTTTCCAATATAATTACCGAAATTCCCTAGTGCATTAAAAGGGAAAAGAGCTAAATGTAATTGGATAACTTTTTCATAAACTGTATAAGAAAGATAAAAAAATTAAATTCATTTCAAATGCTATACTAAATTATTTCTTATAACATTTAATTTAATTCACGACTCGGAAATATTTTAAAAAATATTAAAATTAAAGCTAATAATAAAATATTTGAATAAAAAATAACAATAAAATTACGTAAAATCTATTGATGTGGGCAAAGAAAGACAATAAGACTATTAAATAGATTTTTTTAAATATTCTAATAAATACTTTCTAAATTTTTGGCCAAAAAAAAATTTCTAAATTGATTTTGAGCAGAATCATAACTATAATTAATTCCATAAGCGTTACGCATCAAGCCAGTAAAGAGAGGAGTAACGTTCATTTCTATCACAGCAAACACGCGCGACTTCTAGCTGCAGGCTCAGCCAATTAAATATTATGAAAAAACATAATTTTAAATTTTTATATTTTACTCACATTTTATTATTAATTTTTATATTTTTTTACTGTTTTTATTCCTATATTTTTATATTTTACTATTTTAGGCCCATATATCAATAAAGTAAAAAAACTTTGAAAGGATTTAAAATAATAAAAAATAAACATATAAAGATAAAAAAATCAAAAAAAGTACAGAGATTAGCAATAAAATGTGAACACTATTCAAGAAGTTAAAGTTATGTTTTTCCAATGCCAATCAACAAAAGAAATTCCACGTATCTCCTCTTGGTGGTGAGTTTTCAAGTCTCATATGGTTCTCGAGCCTAGACAATATCACAAAAGCTGTTATTTATTTAGTGTCTATTTAAATTTCAGTTGGATATAACAAATTAAAAAAATAATTAATTAAATAATAAATTTTAATCATAGTTGATTATGTTACAATATAATTTATTTGGATATTATTTTTTTAAAATTAATTTTAATAAAATTGAAGATGTTTGGATAATTTATTCATAATCAATTTTAGCTGTATAAGTTACCATAAAGGATATTACTTTTTAAAATTAAATTATTGATAAATTTGTATATAATATTATTAAATTTGTTAAATTTATTTAAAAATTAAAATATATTACTTAAATTATATATATGATTAATTATAAAATTTTAAATTATATTAATATTAACAAATTTAATTTACATAAATGAATAACTCCATCTATCTTAGTTCAAATTAATTTAATAAAAGAGAAATATTTAATTTTTAAATACCAAACATCAATTTTATAATAATTAATGAAGATAATGATATACAAATTGATTTCTAATGACATTATGAATAAGAGCAATACCTGACAAAGATGTTAAACACTGTCTGAAAATTTTGGCAATATAAAAAATATAACAATGTAATAAATGATACAAAATCTCTTTCTAAACCTTTGCAACAATCTTTATAATGACCTTCAATTTTAAATTAAATTAATTTTCCTCTATCAACTAATATTTTATTTAAATTAATTTTATAACAAGTACTAAGTAAAGGGTAGTGGTTGACAAAAACTTATGCTATAATTTTTTGAGAATACAAAATTTAAATTTTACTAAAAAAAATAAAAGAGAAGAGAATTTATTTTAGTTTTATTAAATTTTGTATCTTTCTTATATTTTTTTGGGCCTTTCTTGTCATTTGCCCGTATTTGTTAGATAATTTGAACGCAGAAGCTGAGTGGATTCTTGTGGAAAAATCGATTAGTGTTTGGATAATTTTGGCAAAAATCGATTTTTGCCCCAAATAATCGATTAAAACGCTATCCAAACACGCACTCAGTCATTCCCTCGCTTCAGGTGCGTTCAAAATTCACACAAACGACCCAGCGACCAGCATCGCCTTCGTCATTACATCGCAGCGTTCTCTCACTCACACACTCTCTGTGAGTATCTTCGACTCCATGATATGCTCCTTCGTGAAGCGTGAACTTCGATTTCTCTTCCGATTTCTACTGCGTTTTGTCATCCGATCCTTTACCAGAGCCATGGGTTGCTTCCTCGGCTGCTTAAGAGCCGAAGACGATGACGATCGCCTCCTCCCTACGTCTCAGCAGCACAAATCCAGGGTAGGGTTTGGAACTTCTCCTTCTTCACTCTCATTTTTCCAAGCATTTTGACGAAACCTTCAGAAATTTGTATTGTTGGAAATGTAGAATTTCCCTTCGTCATTTGTATCTTGTACCGGAGTTTTAAGTACTATTTATGGCTTTTCTTTTCGTTGATCGCGTTGTGGTTCTTTCCTGCTAATATTTTCGCGTTTTGACTCAGCACTATTAGTTTCGTTCTTCTCTGCTTTTCGTTGCTGGACAAGTGAAAATTCTCTTTCCTTCCATTTTATAGTTCTGTTAGATTGATGGAATTTTCTTCATTGCGTTGTGGTTTTAAATACCATTTATGCGTTTGCTTTTCAAAGTTATGAACTGATATGCCTCTCAGTATTTTGGTAAGTTTCTCTCGAGCACACCTTTCATGGCTTAAATTTCGACTAAATTGAGTGCTCACTTAATTAAAGGACTCAATCAAATTACGAGAGATGTCTAATATTTTTTATTTTTGGTGTTTCTGTTTTTACTGTTTGTAAACCAGGGACTTGTGACATCTCAAAATCCCCTATGTTTATTTCTATCTAAAGGTATTCCTGATGACTCACTGTTACCTCTTCCTTTAGGTTATCCTGAATCTTACCACTTTTCTTATGTTTTTTTTTTTTTGGGATAAAATTTAGCTTTAAAAAGAAAAGAAGCTTCGCTGCGTCTTGGTAGGGACAATCTTGGTTTCGGATCTCAGATAGATGACAGGGGGCTCAAGGAAGAGGTACATTGTTATTTATAGTATGAAGCTATATATAATATCTGTTCTATGATTCTTCTTAGATTACAACTCTTACACTTCTAAAGTAGGAGCTTTAATCAAATGGCTTTAGTTTGTGCTCTCATGGACAAGTCTGAATTACTATGATAAATACCACAGAATAATGATAAATACTCGAACTACAACATGGCCGATTTTGAGAAATCATGCAAGCCACAGACTTCATCATAATCCTCAATCACTCAATGGATAATATTTGTGTTGAATCTTCAGCATCTTCTTACCAAGCTGTTTTGAAATTTCTTATTACTTTTCCACATCAAGAGATGTTTGTGCTTAATAAATTTCCAATTCTCTCCACCATCTTTCCCAATATATTGGGAAATTTTCTGGCGATGACTGAGTTCCATGTTTTTTTTTTTTTCTGGTTATGTCTTGTATGAAGTATGAACTATTCACGCAGGCATTATGTGTAATTGCTAATATATGCAGTTTCAGTTATAAAAAAACCTTTGCAAGAGTAGCAAATCAAACTAATACTATAATTGCGATATTCAACCAAAAAGAACTATAAGTAGCAAAGAAATAGAGAATTCCCTGGCTTGTGGTTGAAGGAAGTATGGCAAAGAAATAGAAACGGAGTTACAGTAATAATTAACCTTAGCAATATAGTAGCAAACCAACACTAGAGTAGCAACATTCAACCAAGAAGAGCTATAAGTAGCAACAAAATAGAAACACCCCTCAGAAACATTCAACCAAAAAGAGCTATAAGTATCGAAGAATTAGAAACACTCACTTGGCAACATATTAGCCAAAAAGAGCTATTAAAGAAAGCCAGAATACTCTAGGAAAATCTACTCAAGAGTTCTCATTCCATCGCAGAGTTATAACCCCTATCTCTGCTCCTTTAGTGAGAGATGGATCTGCTTGTAATGTTACTTTTCTTCCGCCCCACTTGAAAGTCATGGTCATTGGACTTCCTTGTATTGCATATGAGCCAAGGCTTCTCAACCACTGACCACCCAACACCACGTCTGCAGTTCCTAGCTTAGTGGGAAAGAAACTCTGTTCAATCTCTATGCCTTGTGCTCTGAGAACAACTCTCCTGCTTACTTCTGACCCTTCAGCTTCAGGACCAAACCCAAAGTTTACCCAAAACCTTTCAGTCCTCTCCACTGGTATTTTTAATGCAGTAACCACTTCTTTTGAAATAAAATTGTGAGTAGCTGCTGTGCCAATCAATACAATCACCTCCCTAGAGCCAATCTTCCCAAGAAATTTGAAGCTATGTGGTTTGGTTGCCACAGTCTGATTCATTGGCAATTTTTGACTCTCTCCCATCACACTTTCTTGTTCCTCCTCTTTCTTTATTTCCTCCTTGTCGCACATTTCACCTTCCTCCTCACCAAGTAAGTTCTCATTTGGATCCATAGATCTAGGAGCCATCTCATCAAATGAGTTGGATTTTGAGCGATTCCCATAACTCCTTCTGGGCAGTTTAACCTCCTCCATCATCTCTGAAATCTTGTTTTTATCTTCAATTTCCTGAGCTAACGACATCACACGATTCAAATCCCTTGACCCAATTGATTTCACTACAGCTTTGATATCATCATTTAGCCCATTGACGAACATGCATCTTAACATCTCATCTGGAATGTCTCTAAGGGATGCAGAGAGCAGCTCAAATTGCTCTCTGTAATGTGCTACAGTAGTGAATTGCCTTAAGGATAGAAGCTGTTCATAAGCTAAGTCGCCTTTAGTGGTCTGGAATCTTTCCATGAGTTCCTGTTTGAACATTTCCCAACACTGAATAGGGTTCCTAGCTTCCACCCATAGAAACCAGTTTAGTGCCTTACCCTCCATGTTCAGAGTGGCGCAAGCCACTTTCTCTCTATCCTCAATGCCATAGAGCATGAAATATCTCTCAGCCTTCAAAATCCAGCCATATGGGTCGTCTTCACCAGAAAAAATAGGAAACTCGAGGCGGTAAGCCCCCGGACAGTTTGGCACCATTTTCTCCGCTTGTAGATGCGACTTACCTATCTCTCTCTCTTGTTTTCGAGGAAGTGATTCGAGCATGTGCATTATTAAATCTCTAGCAGCATTTATCCTAAATTCAAGCACTCCGAGCTTCTCATTCAAGCTTGCCATCTCTGTTCTCACTTCACCCGCTTCTTGTTCTAGAATTTCGATCCTAGTACCCATATCGAACTGACCCAACCCTAGGATAGTAACAAATTAACAATGCAATGGAATCTAACTACAGTAGCAGAGCAATGGAAATACCTTTGCGATGTGGTTGAAGGACGGAAGTTCTCAAACTTTTACTTGGATAGCCTCTTACACTCGGCGTCCGGTTCAAGGGAGGAAAGAAAGGTGGCAGGGAAAGTGGCAGAGGAGAGACTCTTCGTCCGTTGTGCGACGTGGTTCCGAAGAAACGACGCTGTTTCTAGCCGTCAAAAGCATTCACACAATTACCACCATCAAAACTTTTGGTTGTTAATTGAAAAAATAATAATAAATTTTTTAAATATATAAATAATAATTTAATTCTTTAAAATATAATAATTTTTTTAAAATTTTTAGAGAGTTTTTTATCATTAATAAATTTTTATAAATTATTAAATTATTTTTATTAAAGATAAATTATTTATAAGTTTTATTTAAATATTTATAACTTTTTTCTTATATTTCAATAATGCATTAATAAATCATAACTTTATATGTTAATTTTTATATGTTGTTACATTGTTATGAATATAAGAAAAAAAGTTGTGAATATTTAAATAAAACTTATGAATCGATTATTTTTAACAAGGATAATTTAATAATTTATATAAATGTATTAATCATAAAAAATTTTTAAAAATTTTAAAAAAAATTATAACATTTTAAAAAATTAAATTATTATTTATATATTTTAAAAGAATTTTATTTTCATTTTTTTATTAATTTGGGCAGCCTTGTCAGAAAGCAAAAATTTGCTTTTATAAAAGTTACTTTTTTAAAAGATGATTATGACAAAAATAAATTCCTACTCATGATAAAAAAAATCTAGCCCATATCTCGAAATCTTGCCGAATTTCTAGCAATTAATTGGGAAATATAACTTTCGATATTTATACTTTATTAAATAGAAAAGAGAAGATAATATCAGGATAAATTTATTTAGTGAAACTATTTATCAAAAGCATTCTCACGGTCACCGCCGTCAATACTTTTTATTGTTATTGGGATAGCTTTATCAAAAAGCAAAAGTTATTTTTACTGGTAAAATTACTCTTCTAAAGATGATTATGATAAAAGTAAATTTGCGTGATGGAAAGGGGGGGGGGGGAATCCAGTCCATATCTCGAAATCTTGCCCAATTTTTACCAATTAATTCTATCTCAACAACCTGTAGGAGATGGCTAACCTTGTCAGGTTTGTTTTTTTAAACCTGAAAATATTCAAGACTGGACTACTATTTTGAGGTATAAAATGATAAACTCTAAAATTTTAATATAAAAGAATTAAATACTACGTATAGTCATACATTAAAAAAACTCTAACCTCATTTGATTTTGATCATTCTGATTCTTTCTCCCACATCCATCGATTGACTAACTGACCAAGTACGCAGCTAGCCACCTTCCTTTCCTTTACTCTCAACTATCAAAACTTAACTGATGATGCTAGCAAAGTCTACTTATCATCAAAGTTGATTTTATAATGTTACTATTTTTTATTAGATTTAAATTTATTGTTGAGTGGATTGATTTAAATTTATTAGATAGACTTAATGTTATGTATAATAATTTTTTTTAAATTTTAAATATATAATTTTAGATTTTTAACTTCAGCCCTGAGGGTTAGAATTGAGTTGTGTAAAATAGAATCCTAAAATATAATCAACTTTGAAAGAGTCTGTCCGTTTAAGCCCTAGCCCTTCAAGGGCCGACATTAAAAGCAGTCTCCAGCAATAACTAATTAAATAAATATTATCTGCAATTAACATGTACTTTTATATTAATAATAAAAAATACTAGTACATACTTTCTCCATTTCTAATTATAAAATATTTTTAGATAAAATTTCACATATATTATTAAATATATTTACTACTTACTTTTTCCTGGCCACAATATATGATATCAGTTACTACTTCAATATTCCAAAAAAATTAGGTAAAACTTTAATCTTTTAAAAAAATTTACTACATCTTTTCAATTATATTCTTATTAATATCTTATATAAGTACCTTAATAATAATAATAATTGAAATGCTAATGCATCATTTTTGTCAAAAATAAAAAATAAAGTGAAAGTATAGTTGGAAAAAATAATTATAAAAATTACCTAATTCTTTATAGTTTGAATTAAACAGGATTTTTAGAAGATATTATATATTGTAATTTGGAGGGAGTATATTTTAATGATTTTGGGATATATTTCCTCTTATTTTTATTATACTAGGCTGCTTTCTATAAGAATGTTTTAGTTCTTAATATAAGTTACTTGTTTTATTTTAAATATGCCTCTTTTTGTTTCTAAAATTTTTGGTATCTCAATGACGTAAGTATGTAACTAATTTTTTTGATGATGTGAGTTTGTTGTATATGACTTATTGTAAAGATAGAATGAGTACTTTATTTATATATATATATATATATATAAGTTTTGCATGCACATATATTCTTAAACATATGTGTGTGTGTGTGTTCGGTAAACATATTCTTATATATATTTTAATTTGTGTGTATTTATGTTATGGCTAGAGATGTGTTCAATGATTCATTCACTACATGTTCTATTGTAATAATAATGGTAAAATAAGTTATGATATGCTTTGGCTGGGATCAGTGGGTGAAAAATGACATCGTTTTTGGAGACACGCCTACCCTGCGAAGTGTTTTTGGGCGACTTGTTTACTGTTATGTTTCAGTTTCAGTGTTCTTTTTAATAACACTGCAGATTAATTAATTTATATTTATATAAATTATCAAATTAAATTCAATAACTTCAAATAAGTGTTTAAAGAAGCTACTTTTCCAAGAATTCCATGCTTCCATCTTCTTGGCTTCTAATTAATTCTAATTTTGTTGGCCAATTCTTGAGTTTTAATTTATCTGGGCTTTAGTCTTGAGGCCTAAGTGATCTGTTTTTAGACTTGTTAAATTGGATATGGATTCAGAGTGCATAAGTATACTTATTTAATAAGTATTTTAGTTACAGCAATTAGACTTCATGAATACTTAAAATTATCCATATACATTTTTTAAAAAAATTCAAAATAATTCTTATGATTAAAGTATTATTCACATATATGCTTTCCTATAAAAAAAATTTAAGATTTGATACTTTCTAAATATATATAACAAATTTATTATAATTGTTTGATTAAATTGAATAGTTGTTATCGTGTTATATAAGACACTCATTAAGTAAGTAGACTTAAATCATTCATGGATCAAAATCCTGCAAGGTTGGGGTCCCAGCATAAGCATAGAAACTAAACTCACTTGGATGTAACCTTGTTGGAATTTTCCTGTAAACTTGTTCTCAAACTTTAATGCAAACCAATTATGATGAATAAACAATAATATCATTGCATATAAAACATTCTTGTGGATTCTGTTTTGTTTATATAATTTGACTTGATTATTGTGCATATAATTATGACACTCTCTCTACAGGTAACGTCTCTGAAAACCAGCGATTCCTCAACGTCTGACAAATTGAAAGTGTTACCTCGTGGAAAGATTCTGAGTCTTCAACGTTTCATTCTTGCCTTCCCCACACTCTTTCGAGAAACTTCAGCTGGAGGTTCAATCTTCGATCCCTGCAACTCCAATAAAAGTTTTGGAAGAAGGGAAAATGGCAAGGATTCTTCAGCGCGTACACCTTGCAGGTAATATATATAATATATCTATTTATATCGTTCTTTTTGAACTTTTTTTATGCTGATATTGAATAACAATGCACCAAATTGCAATGGACAATTCAAATTATCTCAAAACAAAACAAATCTGATTAACATAATTTAATCAAATTAGTTAAATTTAGGTAATGCATACGTGCTTATCAGCTTATGTACTTGGGCCACATTACCGATCAACGGTGTGCACAACATAGTCTAATAAACAATTAATATGATTAAATGAGTTTTTAGTCAGTTCTCATTGCAGGCTAAGCTTTCATCTCTTATGACACAATAGAAAAGAAA